GAATGACAGTTTTTAATTACTAGATCAAGTTCTGCTTGCATGAAGATTTTCCAGTTCAAAGAAGTATTGCACTGATATGAAAAGTCTCTGTGGAGAAACATCCTTGTCACTGGAAAATGCACAAGTTTTGACTACTCTGTGGCTTTCTTATAAAGACCATAGCATAGTATATAGAGCAAACAACTGCATCACACTCTTGTCATACACATACACTTAATTTGCTACTGATCCACTATGTTCCTCGGTGAGCCTCAATTTCTGTACGCTTCTGTTGTCCCCTCTGTAAAAACACAGTTTCTAAAAAGTATTTCTCAACCTGGAGAAGAAGCAAAGAGGAGGGGGAGGAGTGGGTGATGAGGATTTTATGAGATCTGACTGGAAGTCTTGGGAGTGGTGCCTCTTGGCTACCCTGGGCTGCTCCTGCCTGGGTTTAGTGAGCTGCAGATGTAGTTCATGTAAAAGGCTCTCTCCCTCTAAAGTGAGGACAGGGCAGGGAAGCAGCTGTTGTGGTGGAGGGAAGCTATGTAGAATGAGGGGCCAGGGAAGCAAGCCTAAGCTGAGCTTCTGCCAGGATTTGCCATCACAGAAGAGGCAGCTGCAGCATTTATCCTTCTTCTCTTCTGCCAGGGAGCAGGGTGGCTGGCTGTGCCAAAGAGCAAAACGGGTACTGCTAGCATCTCATGGGAGGAGTTACAACTTGGGTTCTCAAACTAATGAAGAAGGAGGAATGAGAAGATCTCCTATGAGACTCTGGAGAAACTCAGAGGGAAGAAAAGAAAAAAATAAAAGAGTTTGAAAACCACTGGATTATAATTTTATGGCAGTATTATTTGATGGTCTGACTTAGCAAGTCTTTCGAACTTTGGTTCCAAAGATTGTGTGGATACTTCCCTATCTCACCCAGGTGTTTGAAGTTTAATTAATTAATGTTTGTAAAGAGCGTTACAATTTCCAGATGAAAGGTCCTATGCAAGAGCAATGTAGTATTACTCATTGAGGTGATTGGGTTAGAGAGTATCACGTTACACAATACAGCTCTTCCCTCAATGATTTTAAGTGTTTGAAGTTCTGATAAAATATGTTTATCACTAAGATAGATATAATGGAAATACTCTTAAGGCGTGACCTGGATTATGAAACCAGAGGTATGGTTTTGGGAATGGAACAAACGAGAATTAAAACAACTCCTGAGGCCAGATTTGTCTACAGTAGTATAAAATCTATTCTGTTCTTCCTTTTTCCCCTCTTCCAGTAGGCTTTTCTTCTCTTCTAAAATAGAACCGGTTATTACGATGGGTGTGAGCAGACATGCAACAGTTCACTTTCAGTTCCTATTTCCATACTCATCCAACTTGACATTTTCTCAGGACTTTCTCAAAATTATTTTCTGTTCAAATTATTTTTTTTTTTTAGATGTTCGGATTAACCTTAAAAGTGAACTTTTTTGGGGAAAGCTCTGCTTTAACCAGCAATTGAATTGAGTTACATCAAAAGCTTGTAGACAACACCAAACTGGAGATTACAGTCAATATGCTTAAGACAAGGTTGACATGCAAAGATATTTAGATCAGGACAGGCTAAAGGAATATGTCAGCATGAACTTCATGACACTCAACAATGACAGATGCAAAGTACTGAATCTGGAATGGACTGACCCCTGCATCAGTACCAGTTTGCAAGTAACTGCCTGGGTATCAGCTGTGCTGAAAAGGAGGTGGGGTCCTGGCATTCAGTAAGCTAAACAAATGTCAGGCAGCGCCAACAGGTGTGCAGATCAAGTGAATTGCTATATTCAATGCTCATCATATCAGATCTGGAATACGGTGACCAATTTTGACCCCTTAGTACATGGAAGATGAGGGTAAATTGGAGCTAGTTCTAAATAGGGTCATCAGGGTGGTCAGTGGACTGGAGCACTTAACCTATGAGGATCTGACACAGAAGGGCTTGCTCACCCTGGAGAACAGATTGCTTCAGGGGACTTAACAGCAATCTTCCCATACCTACAAGGAAGTTACTGAGAAGACAGAAGCAGGCTCTTCAGTGAGATACACTATGGGAAAACAAGAAACAACTGCCATAAACCCAAGCGAAGCTTCAACTAGATATTAAGAAAAAAAAAGGTTTCATGGCAGATAATTAAGCACTGGAGCAGGTTTTACGGAGATGTTGTGGAATCTCCATATTTCAACGTTTTCAAGACACAACTGGAAAAAGCCCCGAGCAACCTGATCTGAAATTAGGGCTAACCCTGCTTTGAGCAGGAGGTTAGACTAAAGACCTCCTGAGGTTCCTTTCAATCTGATTCAGTGGGAAGGGAGGGAAACCCTAGTTTGTGTTCAAGGTTATGTATACTTGTTCAGGAACAGACTTGGACTTTTGCAACTGAATTAAGAGAGTTGAACAAGTTTGAGCAAAATTTGTTTGAAAAATAACTTCACTCATTATTTGTCAAAAGACAATTGTTAGGTTCCAACTTTGTTGTTCTTCCCTCATTTTCTAACAAATTTACTGTGATAGCATCCCCATTTGGAATGGCTTATAAATGAAGGCATTATTGCACCTATTGCACCTAGAGGCCTCAGTTAACAAGAGAAACAAAACCAGGGGTTTTAATAGTGGGTAATGGAAGAACAATACACTGCAGCCTGTGCATTCTTACTCTTAAAAAAGAAGCTGCATCAAGTTAAATTTGAGAATTACTAAAATACATTATTGACTAACCAAATTTTAAAATACACTGAAAGTTTTCTTTAGTGCAGTCTTCTCAATTTTTGTGATATTTAAGTAAACTATTAATTTTCCATGAATGCTGTTTTTATTGTTAACAGCACTCATTAATAGTTAGTCTTCTAGAGGGATATTATTTTCCCTTGCATTTTTAACACACATTTTTCTTATTCTTACAAAATTCTGTTATATTCCCACTAGGAGTTACATGCCTGAGTAAACCAAGTAATTAAAAGCGTAACTAAAACACAGCTGCCATAATTCCGATCATTTTAAATATGTGATCATATTTCTGATTTGTCTGGAAACAGAATCAATAACTGAATAAGGATGTCAAGAAAACAGGTTTGTTAAGGGAGTCACATGTCAACTTTCTTCCTTTTTTCTGTCCTATGCTTCTCACACTACTCTCTCTCCAAAATATTACAGCAATCAGTAAGAAGATGAAGATGAAGCAATGTAAAAAGATGAAAAATATTTAAGAGTTACTAATGACTGCGGACTCGAAGGCACGTCTTGCAATGAGTTTCTTAATACTCTGAAGAGTTCAAAGGCATTCAAAAGAGACTGTATTAAACAATGTATGTACATAAACAAACTTTCCTTTTAGGAAACTAGAAATCTTAATAGTGACTAAACTGAAACAACAGCAGGTTAAGAATAATGTACAGACTCTAAAAATGCAGTAAGAGTAGCTATATAGTTGCTAATAAGCACTTCGGGAAGAACAGCGATTTCTATGCTTTGTTTCAATGATTTTTGGTAAAAAAATAAAACGTTTTAGTTTTCATTAAAACTTCATGATATTAAAGGTAAAACTATGAAAACATCTTCATGGAAAGAGCATTCTGTGCATAACTTGCTAATGGTAGTTAATGAACCAAAACCCACAGAAATACCTTTGGACAGCTAACATACACACAGAGCTATTAATTAGGTCACAGTTGTTTCCTCACAAATCTTTTGTTCACTTTAGTTGTAGAAAACACCAACATATCCATTAGACCTGTGGGGAGGTATTCACCAGTGAAGAAAATATTTATTTATTATACGTTAAATGCCTGCAATTATATGACTACTTATGGCAGTTCTGCTGGTTTCTGTCTTTGTAAGTAAACTATAATCACTCAGTTCACAATCTATTCTACTCCTCAGAACCCCACTCACCTCAGTAGATCCAACTGTTTAATTTTGTGTACTTCAGGCAACCATTGTAACTCAACCACAGATTTTAAAATGTTTTGAGCATCCAGTACAAAAAAAAAAAGGAAAGAATTAACATGCTTCATTTTCACAAAAGTTGAAGAAAGTATTTTTTTTAAGGTTATCACTGAGACGCAAAGGGTAATTTCTGCTTGAAGCCTGGTAAAATTTGAGTTCCACTCGCAAACATGGTTTGCCCACTATGTCAGTTACTTCATTAACTGACTGTGACGTTAATGCTTGCAAAGGGCTCCTGTTCCTACTGCAGAATACTGTAGGCTGCACATCGTTTCAAGGACACAAACCAGCCTGATTTCCTGAGAGCCTAGGAAAGACCATTGCCTTTATGAAAATAATCAGCAAGTATTTCCTAATTTCTATGTAGGTGCACTCTACTGTGGGGCAGACAAGATGACAGAGAGGGTATTTCAGAGTGGCAGAGTATATCACTGCTCTGTTGGGAACAAAGATGGCAGAGGCTGCTGGATTGGTAGTGCTTCATCTTTTCTGTTTGAACCTCACTTTAGAAAGCTGGCTATGTTCATTACCTCACCAGTCTAGTTCCACTTCTCCCACCACCACCACCACCCTCGCCCCAGGGCAGCTGCTGCCTCCATGTCTCCTACCCCGGAACCTCTACCACTTCCTCCTCACACATCCCATACCACTAACTATTGTCACTGCCTCCCTCAGCCCACCGAGACTGAATTAATAAACCTGACCGAATCCAGCTGACTCTGTTCAGAGCCTCTTGGGTGTGTCTTCACAGGCTCCTAGTGCTAGCAGAGTTTATTTGCTCAGGTCTGCTGCTGCGTCTCACCTGCGATGGGTTCACGCCTTGCAGGCTGGAAACCACAGGGCCAGATAATTTAAGTAGTCTTGTCAGGTCATTACTTCTCCAGTTTTATGAGTTATCAATCACAGTACCAAGGACAACTAGGTTAACTAGGGTAAGTCTAAGGTATGACCTAAACCACTGTCCACTTTTGGATCAAAATTAAGAAGAAAGAGTCAATAGCATCATTCTTCAGAGGAAAAAAAAAACTTTAAACAGTTAAGTGTCTTACCATAATCCTGTCACTGTCAATAATGGTGTTCAAGCGGTGTGCAATGGTCAGCACTGTGCAGTGAGCAAACTTTTCACGGATGGTCTTTTGAATGAACTCATCTGTTCTGAAACACAGCAAGAGCAATGCAGACAAAATTAAGATGCTTGCATGGATAACTGAATGGCAGGCAGGTTTTATGTCTTCATCAAACATGACTATAGCAGAAAATATGCTTAGGAAGTCATTAAAGTGCTTCTTCCTCTTGTTATATTAAATGGCTTTGAGGCATATCATGAAACATAGTCCAAAATCCATTCTCTAATACTTCAGGAGGAAAGAGTTTCTTCTTGCAAGTAGAGCAATAGGTTTCATTTCAGGAGACTGGCTTCCCAGGCTTTGATTACAGAAAGAGGAAAACTCTGTAGAGTCAGATATTCCTACAGATTTCTAAACCAAAAAAAGAGTGTTATTTTCTTTCAAGCTTTAGTTTCTGCAAGCAGCAAAAAAAAGTCGGTGAAAGTAAGTATCCTTAATTGCAGATCAACTGAAGGACAAGAAAGCCTAGAACTAAGGTTCTGGATTTCAACTGCAAAAGGGGATTAAATAAAGGAGGTGGTTGGCATACTAAACTATGAATGGAGTAGCTCAAGAACTTGAATACAGAAAAAAACCAACTTGGCATATTCCAAAATCAAAAGTGTTAAATGGAATGAACAATCCAAGGAAACGGATAAAAGCTTTCAAGAGCCTCAACTCACTATATGAAATGACCACCTAAGGAAAGGATATCAGGAGGAAACATAAGATTTGTAAAGAATGAAAACTAAGCTAGAGCACAGACACTGAAGTATAGGGTTAAAGAGTTAACTGTCACAAACAAAGCTGAGAATTGTGAAAAGGAAATAAAATTATACTGAAATATACAGAGGACACATAAAGCTAAAGGTTCTTTAGCTATATAAACAAGCATTAAGGCAAAAGAGGTGCAATACTCATAAAACCGGAGATTATTCAAGTAACTAACTGTACAAGAGAAGCATTGCTACCACCTAACTTAGAGCATACCAGTCAGGCTTAAATGTTCACATCTATACAGCCCTCTCTTTAGTCAATGAAAGGGGAAAGGCATGGCTAGAAGGGGAATCAGAGAAACTGAATTAGGCAGCCATCAGGTGATGAATGCCCTCTAGAGGTAACTGACAGCCCACATTGCACAGGAAGCCTCTGCTCTCAACCTGGGCACAAAGCCAGGCCATGTGAATACTCACATGGTGTCCATCAGCCTTCAAAAAAAACCCCATGAGTGGTGACAATGCAGAAAAAGGTACTGAAACTGGAATTCTCATCCAAGATAAGAAGGAAGACACGAAGAACTCAAAAGATACTGGGGTTAGTTAGAGCAAGGAAACTTCAGCCTAGAAGTCAGTCAACTTGAAGGCATGGGTCTTGTTTCCAGGATTTCTATTAAAAATATGAAATTGTAGTTTTATATATAATGACTGAAAAATAATAAATGTTGTAGATAGGGTTAAAGCAAGACAAAGGGGATATCTGGATAAACTGGTATATTTAGGCAGTCATGTTTTCTCCAGCCAGCTGCTTGCAAAGAGTTAATTCTTCAAATTGTTAAAAGTAAGCAGAAAATCAAATAAAATACAGCAAAGATTCATGCAACACATCTTCCTCTAACAAATTATTATTTTTTAGACAGAAGTAGTACTTTACATTGAATCTGTCTGCACATGATAAATATTTGGTATCACTTCATAAATTATGCAAAAATAACTTCTCTGATGCCACATGTCAGGAGGCGCTAAAATTAAAAAGTGGATAAAGACAACTGTGGAAGAACAGGATGACTTAAGAGGAATAGAGTAACCATTAAGTTTCCATAATAGGAAGCAAAAGCTCATACTCTGAAGGACCGAACATAACTTCTGTTACAAACTAAGTTTAAGCAATCAGCATGACAAACGAATAGACAGATCCCTGCTGATGACAGCACAAATCATCAGAAAGAAGGAAGACATAAACAGTTAAGTAAGTGTTCCCATGCATGCTCACTGTCATCTTCATCTGGGGACAGAAACGTTTAAGCTCTGTCATAAGCTTAAGAGAACTGGGTTCCGGGCAGCAGTTTCAGAAGGCTTGGCCTTCTGCTCCTACTTTCTGAAAGAAGCTAAAGAGCATGTTGGGAAGCAGGTGTTCTTCAACTCCTCCTTTTGAACGAAGGACAGTACGCAATCAGGGAAAGAGTCAGGAGGAAAAGTCAGGACCGAGCCAGACTCTTAAGCCCTGTGTGTTAACAGCCCCCTTGAGAAAACAAAGTTGTTCATTAATGCCCCACATCACAGCAATCCCAGTGCTTTCACCCCAGTGTTAATGCATGTATCTTTTTTTGCTATCTTCTCAGCAATGCCTCAATGACCTGACTACTCTTACTTTCAAACGAAAAATAACAGGACTATACATGAAAGCACTCAGTAGGGAAGAGGCTTATATAGACAGCGGGATGTGTTCTCTGCAGTGGTTAGAATAGCGAAACAGAAACAAAAGGTTCAATACTCCCTGGAATTATGTAAAGAAAGCCTTATTCTTTCCTTATAGTCAAGCTCAAGGTGAGGTTTCCTGCAGAGCTACTGCAAAGCACAGAGAATCGTAGCTTGCTCAGGAATTTTGAAAAGAACTTTTTACAGGGCTCATAATGATTTGTAATTCTCAGGTTATTTCTACTGTTAACTGAGGAGAATGCCTCATCCTTGAACATCCCTGTCCTCTGCATTAATTTATTATATCTTCCTTTATTAAGTGCATTCCTTATAGCACCACCTCTTCCTACATTTACAATAGAAGCCATTTATCATTCTTAGATAGATACTATCAAACTATTATCTTAAACAGGTATTTCTTGAATATAAGCTTATCCCTAGTAAAGAAACTGCTGGCCATATTGTGGAGGTTCTAAAATGAGACTACAAAGTAATCAGAAACAGACCTAACAGTTCCATCTTCAAGTATCACAGTATGAAATCTCATGCATATATGTCCGCTGATTGGGACTCGACCAGATCCTCTCTAAGGTTCATAGTAGATCTTGGACTATAGTTTTTGGGGTGTCAGGCAGAAGCACCATCAATAACCTCCAGGGGAATCTCAGGACGAAGGTAGAAAAGGCAAGAAAATCTAGAAGACTAAGAAAAGGATCTGTATACAGCATTACATGCTGACAGAGTATGGAGACTGTATCACATGTCAATTAGAGTCATCTATCCTCTAGAAAAGAAACAAAGGAAGCAGCATTTCTGTCCTTTTTCAGGGCATAAATGAACCCTTTGTGGCACCTACCCACACTAAGAAAGTGGCCAAGTACCAGGCAAGTGCCATCACCCAACTCAGTGGATCAAACCTCATGATCTTTCAGACACATTAGAAACCAAAGATGCAACCCGAATACCAAAATCAGGGCGGCTAGATGACAAAAGCTCAACACTAATCTGATTATATGAAAATGGAAACTAGGATACTCCCCATAGCAAGGAACAGCACAATAACAAAGCACAAAATGGTGGTATAGCTGTCCCACTGGCACTACAGGTTGAGAATCTAACACCAAGTTTCACAGCAACCCGAGATCTGGTATAACCTGAATTAGTTGACTGTGTAAAAAGAAAACTATCTAAAGAGCAAGAATAAATACAACCTGAATGAGAAGCAACCAAGCTGCTGAAAGCACCACTGTATAAGTCATTATCTTCAGTCTAATGTCCTCCTGGGATTGTCCTGGAAGCATATCTCACACTACAAAATTCCTGAGTGGCTTTAGATAATTTCTCCAAAAGAGAAACAGTTACAGATAGCAGTTAGATGTAACTAAAGGTTAAACCTTACAAGGTTAAGCTGGCTAATGAACTGAACTACGTGCAATGGCTGCTTTTACCAAACTTAATGAACAACCAATGTAGAAACGTGGCAGTGAACTGGTCCCAGTAAGTTTTGTCCTCTATAAAGTATGCATAATACTGCAGTCAGTGCACAGAAAGTTTAGTAAGTTCAACTTAGTACTTAAAAAAAGTCTCAGCTGCTAAGGATCTTTTTCCAATATATCACCAAAGTGACTACAGAAAGATTTTCAGCTCTTCTGCTCCAGATTTCATACAACTTTCCAGAATGTTTCAAGTACTTTAAAATTAATCCATTCTTCAGGGTGAGAATGCTGGCTTCAGAACGAAGAAGATAAGATCAAATGAAACGTCTGCCAGTCATCACATAAAACACGCAAGTAGTCTGACTTAGGGCAACCTTCTTTATGGCAAGCTCCTCCTTTCCCTCACGACAGTGCTGACACCCCTGCAGCATTCAGAGGACCTGGTGGCTACCAGGAGCAAAGGGGAAAATAAGGGTAAGTATGGGAGCTCTAAGACGTAAGAGGAAGGGAGAAGGATGAACTCCAAATTCCTTTCCTTCACTCCTTTGCTCAGCTTCACACAGCAGCAGATAAGAATGGCCTAGCTGAGCTGGAGAAACATGGTGGAGAGTACCTCATCCCTGGGGAAGGTGTATACTGCACACCTCTCACCCTGCTGTCCATCCACTGCCTCACGCCACTTCACCCTTCCTTCTCCTCCTCCCACCCCAAAAATCCTGCCTTCTCACATGTGCTTCCAGGTTGAACTGGAGAAGGGACATGGTTGCAGCAGCGGTTGAGGCAAAGAGACTGAGCACCAGAAAAACAACAAAAAAAAGAAACAGTATCTCCAGCGCCAGCGGCAGCTCCCCATGGTTTCCTACCCAGGTGCTTGATATGATGTGTGCTTGCCGCCAGGCTAGAAACAGGGGTGCCAGGTATGGGGGCTGTGCATCAGAAAAGGAGGTTTTCCTTACATGCCAAAAATGCCTCCCTAACTGCTCAGTTAAGCAACGCACATCAGCATTTCCTGATGAGCATCCTATCAGATTGCACAGCTGAAAATACTTGGCTCTAGTTATAGCAACACATTAAGGAAAAGGTTATAATGACTCTAATGCAAACTGAATTCAAAGAAGTTCCAAGTTATTATTTGTATTGTTATGCATAGAGTTGATACAAACAAACATTTACCTTATTATAATATATATTGCAGCACACATTAATCAAGATCAATTCAATGGATAGTGCAAGTTGAGAACACACACATGTGAGATGCCAAAATAGGGAGGATGAGTAAGACAGTATTAAATTTCCACAGCTATGATTAATCACAGTTAATCTATCAGAGCTCAGACAAAAATAAACTAATAGCCAAAAAAGGGGAAAAGAAAAAAAAAAAAAAGATACAACCTCTGGGAAGGGAATGCACTTCTCTAAAGGTTTTAGAAATACACTGTCAGCTGAACTGCAAAGCTACCCTAGTGGCACCACTTCTCTCCCAAGAAGATGTTATAAAAATGAGTCACGCCCAGATGACATACAAAATCCTTAATGCATCTGTTTGAGGGACTTGCTGTGTTATTGTCCTCTTTGGACTTCAAGTTCTCCCTCAAGCCATAGTTTGTTGGAACTATATATTCAGCTCAGACTAATTGATGCAGTACGTTTGCAGTATTGTTTCCAAAGTATTTCCACCAGCGTTTCAAATGTTTCAAAAATTAACAGTGGGGGTACTTAGCTATTGGAACAATTTAACAAGGGTTGTCATTGAATTTTTCTTCTATTGAGGTTGGATGTTTTTCTAGAAGTACACTCTAGTTCAAACAGGAATGAATTCAGCAAAGTTCTGATGGCCTGAGTTATACAAGACAAAATAACGAATGATAAATGAGTCCGTCCTGTAGCTTTAAACATCTCCAAATCTGTTTTGCAATTCCTGTGGTGTTTAGGACAGCTTACCTTCCCCCCTGCCCCTATTTTATCTGTAACTTATTACAGAGTGGCATCTGAGCCATCTGAAAGGACAGCATCTCATAACCAGAAGTATCTAGTTTTGCTAATAGTCATTTTTCACCTTTCTAGTTTTGTTTTTTTGGGGGGGAAGATTAATTAAATTTTATTTATTTATTTATTTCCAAGAGACATATTTTCCAGAAATCAACAGAACTCAAATTGTTTCATGGCTATTCTGATGTCACTGATGTGCATTTCCAAGGAGGTTCTTGTCTTGTCTATGACTGAAGGACAAATAAACTTTGAACATTAACTTCCCAAACTCTATGGAATGCACTGAAATTCAGGATATTTTAAGCGCTTAGTTTATATAATCTCTGTAGCCAAAGCTCAACTGCCCCATTTTGAATAGATAGTTATGATGCTATCATTAAAAACATAAAATAGCAATACAAACTGCAAGAAATACAAAGCATTTAAGTTAATCTCTGCAGTGCAGATGATCATCTTAGAAGAAAAACCAGCTCATCTTAATATGACAGATTTTGTTTTTACCTTGGGTCCACATTTGCTGTTGCTTCATCAATGATAAGAATCCGATTTTTTTTTAGAACTGCTCTGGCAAGACACACCAGCTGTCTCTGACCAACACTAAAATTAGACCCAGATTCTGCCAGCTGCATGTCCATTTTATTTGGTAGATCTTCCACAACCTCCTTCAGTTGCACCTGTTGACATGTCAACATACTGTAGGATGAGTAACTCTCTTTTAAATCAGCTATTGTGTGTCTGATGACACAACAATAAGTAAGCAAGGTTTACCTTTTATATTCTGACACAAAATGAGTAAGTGCCAAGTTGGATTACACAGTGTCAGTTATTAGAATTTTAAAAACATTAAAGCACATTGTTAAGAATCTATTAATGTTCATTAAAATTAAGATATGAATCAAAATGTAACCAAAGCATCATTCCAAAGGATAATTTTTTCATAAGAGACTTATATAACAATATACATGTCTACACACACATGCACAAACACACACATATACAAATGCACACACAATGATCCACCTTTTTCCATCAACAGCTATGCCCTTATCAGACCTGATGAAAACATCTAAAACCTAACACACACAAGCACTGTAGTGTTATTTGGTTTGTAAATATCAGATGTACATTACTAGATTTAATAAGTCACCTCTTCCAATGCATTCCACAGCTCTTCATCGGTGTATTCATTGAAAGGATCTAAGTTTTTCCTCATAGTTCCAGTGAATAAAACAGGCTCCTAAAACCCAGTAAAATTAGCATTCCATTATAAACACGTTCTATACTGCAATAGGTAATCTAATAATAATCAGAACTAACAACAGCACAGAAATATCCAATAACAAGCTATCTTTTAGGAAATGCAAAGGTGTATTTCACAATAGCATGCTTAAGGGGGGTGGGGGAACATGACAAGTGGGAAGGCAAGTGTTTAAGCAGTCTGTATGAAGATAATTTACCAAACAGGACAGGTCTGTTTGCAAATTGCTGTACACAGTTATGTCAGTACTCAAACGGGCATTTACATGCCACTGTTTTGATGCCACAAGCTATATATATACTTACATGAAATCACTGCTATCCTCCTGGTATTGTTAATGAAAACCAGCAACCACCACTGTCAATGAGCTCACAGTCCTAAATTATATTTGGGCAGTTTTGAAAATTTGTTTTTGAAGTACATAAGCCAGAGAGGAATCAAAGAGCTCACAATGCTTTTCTGGTTTTCCTTCTCTGTTTGGTTGTGGGTTTTTTTTCATTTCATACCATAAAAGCCCATCATTTTACCACCAGAGCCTAAGAGGAACAGCTTTCACCATCTCAACACAACGTTTAAAACCATACACATAGAAGTTAATCTATACTGCCACAGCATCAAAGCAAACTTACTTAGAACTGGAGTACTTCTGGGCAAAGCTCTAACTCAAAATACACCAGGGAGTCAAATCAGTACCTTCTCCCATTCAGGTACCAATGTGGGTTTACCTGTGGTTGAAGCAAGTTTTGTTCTACTTCAGCTCCTGGTCAGAGCAGTAACAGATCATTAATCAATCTGGTATTATTCAATTCACACTGGAAAATGTAGTGTTTGAGAAGTGGGAAGATGACTTTTGATCCAGAACTTCTTAAGCAACAGATCAGTACTCACTAATGTGAGTTGCCAGACCCAAGAGTCATGCAGTGACACGACTTTCGGGGCTAAACTCCTCTTAATACCACACAAAGACAACAACAAGTCAAAAGCCCTAATAGTGCTAATCATAAATGAAGACCATTCATCATGTTGTCAGTCTTTAAATTGGAGAAAACTTATGCAAAATGCTTTCCTTTTTTCTCCCTTAGGAAATAAAGTCTAACTTAAATTGCATAACTTCATCTTACTCTTAGATTAACCTCTGTTGTGACTTAATGCCCCACCTAACCCTAATGATTCCCAGCTCCAAAGGGCCGCAGCACATCAGAACAGAATTTAGACCTTAACCTTTTTACTGTGCCTTCATTTCTAAGGTTGGTATACTGTGCCACATTTCTGAATTAACAAAGACAGAACATACCACAAGCAATGTAAAAGAGCATATGCATTTCTTGAAGTAACATGCCAATTATTTGAAAGTTATCTGCTGCACTAGCAACATGTCACTAAAAACCTGTTGAATGAACAAAAGGATTTTAAAAAAACATTACCAGGTGAAAGAACAGTTTTCTTCAAAAACACCTAGAAAGTAATTTGTTTAACAATACATATTTTAATACACCATTTGGTGTGTTTTGAAGGTATTGTTACGTTTATTTTCCTTTTCAATCCATTTTTATAGGTTGGCAAAATAAGAGGCAGAATTTATAAAGTGTTCATAACTATTATAAAAGTCCTAACAACAGACATGTACTGCAACAGAAGATAAGGATATTTTTTAATTACCATTTCTGACACAGATTATTATTTAAATTAGTCTGGTTTATGAGAGGAAAGTAATAAGACAAACCTGTAAATAATTGTTGTAAAAATGCTTGCAGTCAGGGAGGCAGACAACATTTGCATAGAAAAGATTTACAAACACAACCTTCACGCAGCTCCATCCAAGCAAGCAATTAAGAGGCCTAAGCACATTTTTATTTCTCCAGGTAGGTATTTAAACTTACATATAAGAAAACTTCAGTCTTGCCTCATCACTCTCTAGGAATGGTTCTATTTAGCATATTTTATGTTATAATTTTAATAACCATCTCTCCCTCTGGTTTCTTAGCCTCCCATATAATTAGGAAGATATTTTCTGCAAAATAACTACCTGATGTTACATAACTATTTCTACTATTGACGCTATTAATGCAGTACAAGACAATGCTCATCACTCAGTTTACTATAGTATAAGCCTGATTCCAAACCCTCCTCTTCTTCTTACTACCACCACTTCACAGTTTTTCATATTTTTTAGTGGAAACAAGTCTTCCTTATGTGGAAAAAGAATGCTACTTGCTAGTCTTTGGACACTTGAAACCCTCTGGGACCATGATGAAAATGCTATCATATAAACTTGATAAAAGTCACAGAATTCAATTGGATTAAAATAGTTTTACAACCATTTCAATAGATAGTGTATGAAAAAAAAAATGTATAATTAAATGCAGTGACCCTTGAGCATCTGCATCACTCAGCATACAGAAACTGTATTTGACCAGAAGTTTTCCTGTCTCAGTACTCTATTTTATTCAACTGGGTCGAATTTTTCCAACCATTGAAATCACCTGCAATAGCTATGGGCAAGGCTTTCAAAAAGCTGTAGGCCTTAAATGAACTGATGATCATCTGCTTTCAGGAGAAAAGATTGCTGCACACAAACAAAAAAGTAGAACTTAAATCCACACGAAGTCCTCTTTAATATACAAAAGAGGACTACTTCCAGTAAGTACCTCCACTCTGCAATAACAAAGCCTTCAGCATGCAGAAACAAAAGACATCCTGCATTAGGCAACAATCCAACTGTTGGGGGAGGTTTTTTTTTGTAATAGTAGATCTGCTTCTTTTCTCTGACTCCTACTCTTGGGAAAGGAAAAAAAAACCAACCTAGATAATCAAGAGTGACTTAGAACCACTGTTCATTATCATTTTTATCAGATTTTCAATTTAAAGAAAGTAATACACTATGAATGCCATCCTGCCAACAGGCTAGGAAACATTCAGTTACATAGATGGTGCAAGGACCATAAATACAGCTTCTGTAATAAAATACAGAGATCTAAGACTTAATGCTTATCACAGCAACAAATTCCTGTTTTCCAGCCTACTGTTCTATTTGCTAGAACATCCCAGATGAATTATTTGCCAAAACCATGACTCTGCATTCTCAGAATATGAGGTTTTCTCTCTTCCTCCCTCTCCAGTGGAAAGCAAATGATCATGGAAGAGATCAGAGCTCTCATGAAACATGGCACTTGCACAGGCTCTGCCCTCAGGAAGTTCTGAGGTTATTACCTCTCTGATTCAATGTCTCATTTGAAAGTAAGACCAAAGAAGAGATGTGACCTACTGGACTTTTTGCAATATCCTTTCTTCTGGTCCAGGACCAGAGAAGAGACTATTCCCAACACTATCTTAGCTTTTTTCCTGTATTTCAGCCTTCCCCGTATTCAGCTTCTAAAACTCACCAAGTTTTTGTTTATGGGTCATAATGACCCACACTTCTGTCTGTTTCCCTTGCCTCCTCTTGTCCAACCTTCTCCAAATAATGGAAAGGCTGTTATCTCACTTCTAGTTGGCACATTTGGTCTTTCTAGGTCTAACCTCAGTCAGTTTGTACAGGGGTGACTAGACTGGGACTCTGCACCCAACTTTGGACACTTTGGGATGGAAAGTGATCCATTAAAGTCCCTTACTAAGGCAGCTTCAAGCAACACATTAAACAGGAATTGTTGCCAAAGGAACAAGTAACTTCAGAGGACTGCTGAAGACTGTCAGATTTTCTCTAACCCAGACTATAGGAGGACAGTATACTGCTAACACCTACTCACAAGTATTCCAGAGGAATACACAGGGTACAAAACTAGGAAGAAAATGCTCCAGTCCCCAAAGCTCGCTCTTTTAATCTTAAAATAGTCAAGACCTTACTCAACTAAGAGTAACGCCTCATTAAGGTTCCTATGTCTTCTGCACACAGGGGTGAAGGGGGAACGTATCCCAGCAGAGCATTTTAAAATACTACAGCATTATATTGAAAATGTTTACAGCAGACCAAGTCACACTCTTACCTGAGGTATAATTGAAATTTTCTTCCGCAAGTCATGGAGTCCTAGCTCTGATGTCAAGTACTTATCAATCCAAATCCTTCCTTCAGGTTCCGCCAAGCGAAAGAGGGCTGCTATCAGAGAGCTTTTCCCAGCTCCGGTTCTTCCCACTATTCCAACCTACAGAGGAAGCCAAACTTGTACAATTAAACCATGAGCTTTTCAAGATAAATTAGTATGTCAAGCAACAGTTTTACAACATCACAGCATTTATAGTAAAACAAGCACCAAAAAAACCTTTTTTATAATTAACATTTTTTCGAGACTAAAGAAACCTCCCCCCAAATCAGTTTGGATTCAGGTGACATTCAGATACCCAACAATTTTTTGGATCATATTCAGAGGTGAAAGATTTTTCCCTTGATGTGTGGTGTTTTATTGTGGAAACAAGATAAAGTGGCTCAGTGTATAAAGTAACGTGATTCAAGGCTGCTAATTTCTATACTAAACCTGGTTTGCTGGGTGATGTTAAGCACATCATTTCAGGTATGCATCTACTACTCAACCCAAAAAAGGACTCCCACAAAGCAATTTGGGAACAAGGAATGAGTAGTATTCCGAATTTAAGTAACTGAGAATGATTTTGTTAGATGGTTATGGTGAAGTACTTTAAAGTAGGCAAACTCTAAAGCCAAAACCAGTAGGATTTTTAACTGTATTCATGCTTCAGACAGCTTCGACAGAGAGGACACAAGTGTTGAAACTACAAGGCCATGGATGCAAGCTGCAATTCCTTTCCAAACAGAAGAAACAGTGAATAATAAAATCACATTGATTCAGGCTTTTAGATGTTCCCAAACAAAAATCAGAAGCTGTATTCAATGTAATAAAATAATGCTTTCAGAAAAGAGGTAGAGACAACACAAAACATGGGATTGCTAACTTTAATGACAAGGGATTAAGACCTACAAATATTTTGTATGAAACCAACACTTGGGAGAAAGCAGGCCCATTAATAAGTGAGAGGAGACATGTAATAAGTGGTGATTAAATACTATTTGAACTGCAAACTCTTTTTTAAAAAAATGTTGTCTTCAGGTAAAGGATTCTTAAAGAAAACAATGCACAGTAATCAATTGTATAGGAGAAGGTGATGGGTGTAACCATCTACACAGATCTGATCTGGCAGGATTCGTTATTTCCTGCACTCCGTTCTAATCGTTACATTTCTAGGAAGAAATCAGCACACTGGAAAGAGTTCAGAGAAGTGCAATACAAAATTAATATGGGTTGGAGATACTGATTTGATGAGGAAAGATTTACAAGGATCAAACTTGTACAATATAGTCTGGCAAAGTGATTGGGGTGCAGAAGGGAAAAAAGATGAAAACCTTCATGAGTATACGTACTGACACCAGAAGGCAATTACCCACTGCCTGAGACTCGCATGCAGTAATGACTGCTGGAATTAAATTAAGCACAGGAAACATTATATTGAAGAGCAAGAAGAAACTTTCTAACAGTCAGACACACTAAGCTCAGACAAAGCAGAAGTGCCCACATTTGATCAAAAATACACAAAACACTAAAAAAGTATACTGCAAGAAGAAATTTATACTGCATAATCTAAAAGGTATTTTCTACTTCAGTTTTCTGATTCAACAATTTCATCCAACAATTCATTATTGTACTATTGTATATAAACTAATTAACATTTATACAGTGCTTATTATTGAAGATACAGCCTAATTTAAGCAAATCTGTTACAATAAATGATAAAATGTCTAGTACACTAAATTATATCAGTGAAACAAAGGAAAAATAGTTCTGAACAGTAACACTACAGCTCAGAAAGAAAATGCTGAATGGAGAACACAGACACCCAGAGTTGTGAAAACAAAAGTTCAATTGTTTCTCTGTAAATGTCAGTGATATAAAGTATTGTATTAAGGATATAAAGAAGAAACATAAAAAAATACATTGATACTTAAAATAAAAATGCAGCTGCTCTGCATATTGTCAAAATCCCACTTTCAGTTTGGCATCAAATGAAAGGACTATGCTCTTCAGTATTTAGAGGAATCTATTTGTGTTTTTGGTCCAATTGACTAAAGGCTGCTGAAAATTGACATGGATTTGAAACAGCTCTAAGTATACACTTTTTTTTTTTTTTTTCTAAAATACATTCTGTTCTTCAGAGGCCACTGTTCACAGCCAGTGCAAATACAGCACCATCGCTGCAAATGGAAGTCCCAGTCACCTAACAGGAATCACATGGCCAGGATTTTGTTGCCCGATATAAGCCACATGCATATACAGGGTACACCTGCTATGCTGGGCTCATCATTACTCAAGTGTCATTCGTACTTCAAAGTAGAACTGCACAAAAAATGAGAGGGAGATTTACAACATGTCAGCTACTTCACTGAAACTGCCCCTGTCTTTGTTATCCCTCAGGCAACCTCTCTTTTGGGCTACAATGTGAGAGTATATATGTGAACAGCTGCCATGTCGTAAATCTAGACCCTCACTCTCCTAACTTTTTCATGTAGCCATACCCTCAGTTTTAGGATCTGTCAGAACAAGGTGCATTTAACAGTGTATTAGTCAATAAGCATTCATAAGCAGCCTAAAACAAAGAGTGTGGTGTTTAAAACCCAAGGCTGCACATGCTAACCTTCTCCTGCTGCAGCTATAGTAGCTGAAGAGGTTAATCACAGTCAGCTGCTGGAACTCCTTACGTGAGCACTCCCTGGTCTGTATCTGGCAGACTATGATATGTTAGCAAAGATGGTTAAAACAGAGGGTCCTTCCTAGCCTGCTTCAACTGTAGGGAGATACTGCAGGCTGAGACAAACAGATCAAAAGAGACCCTAACCCATGAGTAATCTGCTAGTACTCACCTCCTCCATTCTTACTGTACATACAAAGCTTATCAAACTGGGGCGCTGGGGTGGCTACAACAAAAACTACAAGCAAGCAGAAGTTTAAACCCATGCATTCCGCCAGTGGCACTGCAGTCACCAGAAGTCTGTATGAGCCAGGGGCCTGATCAGGCATAAGAGCTCTCACTGACATCCGCATGGGCAGAATCCCTAGTGGATCCGGAAACCTGTTTCTGAAGAGACACTTCTCCATAATTAAAACCAATATAAGGAGCACAGATGCTTGGGAGATTTATTTTACACAGTGGCAGTCTACTGCAGTATTGTGCAAAACATCACAGAAGACAAACACGAAGTTCTTGGCAACAGTTTCAAGCCTGGCAAATTCACTTCAGGATGACAAAACCGCAGCATAACCACTCAACAAACATAAATACCCCCAGTCATCCCTCCGCCTCCTGACCCCACCAAGGATTGGATTGAGTCATACATCGCTAATATCTCTTGGTTCCGTTTTTTATTTCGGTCTCTCACTAAGAAATGTAAATCTTCTTGTTTGCTATTACATTGGAGTGATATATAACAGCTAGAGAGATGTCCCATACGCAAAAGAGTAGATAAACATTCCTTTTGCTCTTCTCAAACACTATTTTTAACTCACCCATACCTAATTCCATGAGATCATCTCCATGAAGCAAAGTTGGGCTGAACTGTTGTAACAAGCATGTTATTAAAAAGGTCCACTTGAGGAATGAAACAGGTTTGGGACTGAATGGAAATGCATGTTACAAATGAAGCCAGGGCAATGATTGTGGAGAGTTGAACCAGCCTTCTAGGGAAGATATCCTAATCAAAAAAGTACATGTGGGCTTGAAATGTAGCAAAGCACGAATTAACACTGCAGGGCTCTAATTTAATTTTGTCTGTGGGGGAGAACTTCCCTGAAGCACTCTTTCAATTGGGATAATGTCAAAACTGGGGAGGAAGAGTCAAATTTGAAGAGGAGGAAGAGTTTTATTTCTATGTTTCTTTTGGCTACCAATCTAATTAATGGCAACAATTAATTGGATTGGTAGCCGAAAGGAACTGAAATAAAATCGTTAATTTTAAAGTTATGCAACTGATTTGCGTTTTTTTCTTCTCTTTTCCATGCGGGGCTCTGTGCAAGAGCATGTACATTCATTATTTTCAATTGTCTCTGCTCACCTTGTCTGCTGACATTCTCAGTTCCATTTATGTCCCCTCCATTGAATCCCCAATTTCCTAATGCAGCTCCATTTCCTTCAGATTTGAACCAATATCTTTGGCTTAGTTGGTACTTTGTATGTCTCTGCTTTCTGATGAAACCCAAATTTTATCAGAAAATGATCTGTTTAATCTTCTGACAGACTGAAATGTCATGTTCCCAGACACATTTATGCTATACTTATAGAAAAAGGGGCTGCAACTTTTGTTATTAAATATGACTAAGGCTTATCTTTTAAAAACCCACTAATTTTCTAACATCCATATATTTTATAATGTACTTTTATCACAAAGCTTGCCAACTTATCATCTGCTTAATTTCTGTGTATGGCCAAAGACAGCCATATACATACCTTTTCCTTTGGTTTAATTAAAACAGACAGATGTCTTAACACCAAAGGTCCATCTAGACTGTAAGTGAAGTTAACATTTTCAAATGCTATCATTCCTTGGCTTGGCCATTCAGGTGGTGGATGCTTGTTGGTCTCCCAAGGAGCTTCTTTTTCAAGTTCTGTGTATTCCATTACTCTTTCTACTGATATCATCTAAGGGGAAGAAAGAAGACATACACACATAAATTTCAGCTTACCGCATATATTGCAAATATTGCATGCATATGTGTGTGTGTGTGTGTATTTTTACTATAAAGATTCAAGGCAAATTATTCCAGAGTTTTTTCTTTAAGCACAGGTAAGAATATTTGGTATCATCCTATGCTTACATACAACCAAAAAACCAGAAAGAATGCATTTCATGTCCTATTACTGATGGAAATCTATCATGATACATAAATCCATACATAAGCATTCATTTCTAATCAGTGGGATTAATTACAAATCTAAGTATGTGCACAAATATTAAGAAATCTAAGCTATGAGAACTGTCTGTCAGTCTTGGCTAAGATGACACCATTTCACTGTGTGTTGGGAAGAAAAAGGTAGAAATGAAACTGCCATGAGCTACAAGCAGACACATGACAGCTGCTAGCAACCAGTTACTGGCTTCATCCCTTTTCTTGCCTTCATTATTGCCACTGTTCCCACCCCCAGCAAATCTTTTAAGTATGTTTGTCACAAGCAACCCCACAACCCAAGATAACTGTCACCATACTATTAGTGACTTATATGCAATAAAACTTGTTTTCCTATGTATTTTATTCCAGATATGAAAGAAACTGAAATATTTGTTGATGCATCTGCTCTTAAGGGAAGGAAGAGAAACAGAAATTGAGCCATCTAGACACTCCTTCCCCTTTACTGGGCAAATAATAGAAGTTCTGTTTAGGCTTGGTGCGCATCCTTACCCATATATCATCTCAATACAATTAATTGTATTTAATGGTATCCACTCACAGATGGATTCTGAAAAAAAATAAAATCATAAAGATGTCCAGTAGGCTTACCTTGCCTGGAGTGGCTTTAAGGGCAGAGGTCATCAGGCAGCAAGTTCTCTGAACTCACTGCCACCTACCCTTTCCACATTATAAAATAAGCCCCAAGGAAAAGCATATAGGGAAGGAATGACAGAGTAGAATAGAGAGGAAATGTTCTTGCCTCCTCTAAATGCAGTCAGTCTTTAATAACATGGGATTTTTGGTGGATGTCCACCTGCCAAAGAAGTTGATGCTAATCATAGCTCTATAAAATAATCAAGTGTTCCACATCCAAGCCAGATCAGTGAATGGCAAGGCTTTCTCCTTCAAAGTATTTCTGAATCACAGCCTCCAAGAGAGTAACTCACTACACAAGACAGTCCCACAGACTGACACTTCCAAAACTTCCCAACTGGTACAAAAAAACCTGAAAGCTTTCTTCCTATTTCTCACCAAAGTCTGTCACCACTAGTTTATTCATGTCTGAAAAATGCTCTGAAGAAGCCGTGCGCTAGACAAAAAAATACAAATCTAACATTACTATTAATTTTATCTGTTATTAAATGTGGCTTTGTATCTTCTACAAAATGACTACAAGTATTTTCTAGAATATGGTCAACAAATCATAATTACAAGTAACCTTTAGTTGTCCACACAACAGAAAAGACTCTGAGGTTCATGCGCAGTATGCTCTCTTTATATAGTCTTTTTTCTTATATATTAACTTAAAGTAAATAGGCAAACGAGAACATGCTAGTAAATATTGCAGATTCATGGAAGGATTTTTACATTATGTATTTTGGAAAGCACACAATTCTCTGAGCTGAATATAAATACTTTCAAATATTTGTTAACTTACAACAGACTAAGAAGATATAAGTCTTTATAATGAATTAAAAGGACCCTGAAAATGCCATGAGTAATATAAATCAAATGTTAAAATGCAATAATAAATAATAATAAATTCAAAATCCCAAATTAAAAAAAAAAAAAAAAAAAAAATGCCATTGTCTATACTCTAACTAGACAGTCTCCTTTCTGCTGTAAAGGGCAATTATAAAGCCTCCCTTACTGTGAATGCAGAGGCACAGTCACTAGGGACAAAATGCGTCTTAACAAACATTCAAAATCAGTCAGAAAAATTACACACTAGAAGAGGCTGTTTTTCTTTATGGACTGTAAGTGGTGCCTCAATCACTTGCTAAGGTATTAATGTCCTAAGTTAATTAAGAAGAATCTCATCCTTAAGGCCTCATGTCACAACCACAAAAAGGAACCAAGAAGTGAAAAGGAAGAAATAAACATTACCAGGTTTTCAACTTCAGCACTTTGTCTAACACCCCACTGGAATGTTCCCATGAGCGTGATTGCATAGGATAGCGCCAAACCAACCTGCCCTGCATTCAAAGCTGCAGAACAAAGGAAAAAGAGAATCAAATAGGTACACTGGTAATTACCCAAAATCCTACTTAACTTCACTTTCATGAGGTTACTTACATGATGGAAGCATCACAGCCAGAATTTTGTTTGGTTACACTATACTTGCCATCTGTGCAATGAGTAGCTCCAGGCAGATAGCTACTTGCTGCATTTACCTTACTTAGGTAGCTTGCTAGGGTCATCCCTCTCTGGCTGAACATTAGTAACTTTTCACTTTTTAGTAAGTGAATTAGAGCAGTCTCTAAACTTAAGCAGAAAGTGAGCATAAAACAATTTCAAAATAAGTTACAAACATTTACATCAACTCTGTAGTCTTTTAAGTGATCAGATAAAGTAACAGGTTAGAATACTTCTTTCCCTGTGTATATAAGCATTTATTTGTTCAGTGGGACTACTCTCATAAATTAAATTAATTCTGTTTGTCCCAGCATTAAACATGATTTTCCTCTAACTTACTTGAACTTTATCCTAGCATAGCTCTATTGACTTCAGGAGAGCTACTCCTTATCCAGAGGCAAAGAAAGATTCAGGACCATTGTTTTGACTTGTCTTTTTGCATTCTAGTAACACCAAACCTAGCTCAAAATTTTCAGTGTTGAGCAGAACAGATGTTCAAATTTTAAAACATGCAAGCACATACAGAACTTATCCAAAAGAAAAAGAAAAGAAAAGAAACAAAACCAGCAAATTAGCACTAATTTTCATGTCCAAGATAATTACTCCTTCCTTCATATTTAAGATGACTATCTCATTCTAGTACATCTAACCCAATTACATCCTGGATGATGCATACACTAATGACAGTTCATGAGTGACAGTGAACATAAAATGTATCATTACAAGGCAATTTTCTTTCTGGAACTGGCCTATCCGCTGATCCAAGATATTAGAAGAGTATCCCTAGGAATTTTAGCTTGCCTTCTGGCCTACTGTGCCATGTTTAGAAAGGAAAAAAGTTGTTAAGAAGCAGCTCTGTGGGTGTTTCAGTATGAAAAGCAAAGCCCTGTAGGCCCAAAAAAGAAAGGCAAAGGTGGGGAAAAAGAAAAAGATTTATTTGTTGTTATTGCTCTGAAAGCCAAAATCTCAAAAGTGAAGAGTGCAGATCTGTAAGCTTGTTTGCACATATGGGGATGGTGGCAGATGCAAGCCTAAGCCTGGAAGATGTCTGAACTGTCTCCAGTATTTGCAGGAAAGCAGATACAGCCCCAATGCCCCAGACTGAGGAAGAGATCATGATCTAGAAAGAAACATTTAACTTAATTACAGTCCTTAAACAATTAGAAACAGTAATCTATGAAAAAGAATTAGACATTACTATACATGGTAATTACTGGGGTGAACTTTTTCTAACATTTGTACTTACTCTTGGCAAGAAGCAGGGAACCAAAAGCAACCACTATAACAAAAATGGCACAGATGGCATCCAGACGCACAGCAAACCATCTTGAGGTTGTCAAAAACAGAAACCAGGCCTCTAAAGTACATTTTATAAAGACATAAGAACAGTGGATTATTAGAAAACTAAGCTGCATAATTATTATTAATTCATGTTAATATTATAAGCTGTTAGAACAATCCCACTGACATCGTCAAGTGCACATCTGTATGGACTGATGATAATAAGAATATTGTTCAGTTTTCCTGAAATGGTCTAACCTCACTTTCACACTAATAACAACCACGACAGCAACCACAGCTAGTACACACAGTAATAGGAAGGAAAACAGTCAAGGCCTGAAGCATGGTCCATTTATTTAAAATGGAAGCTTTTTTTTAACTCTAGTGGACTCACGAGTCTTACACAAAAAGCAGAAGTACAACTACATTTGCTGTAGTTGGACTACAGCCTACAGGCTTTTAGCTAGAACATATCACAACACAACTGTCAGAGCCAAGTCTTCAGAAGGCAGCTGCAGCTGGTTAAGCTCCCATAAAAGCTACTCAATACAGCCAGTGGAGCTACAGAGCTATTCAATTGAGTAAATACACATAACTACTTTCAGGGAAGCTCACAGGTGGACATCTCCACTGGGCACTCACATCTAGGTGTTCACAACTTGGTGCTAAATTCCATCCCAGACAGATATGCTACAGTACAAGATAGAGGAGACAGCAGGAAAAGACACTGCAATACAGAAGGCAAAGTGTTTGAATTCAGAGCCAAAACCAGAAGTCAAGTAGCCATAACAAAGTATGGCATTATTTATTGCTTAGGCTGCAGTCAGATGAACTGTTTCAGCTGCTACCAAGTCACAGCAGAAGGTTACCATTCCAATTGCTTGTCATTCATTACTCCTTGCTAAAGATCAGTGCTGTTTCAACTATTTCACTGTTCCTTAGCCCAGTGCTGGGAAATCTTCAGACTAAAAACCAAAAAAAATCTTCCCTTTTTGTAAAAGAAGAGAGGAGGTAAGTCTGGTTTTAAGCCAGATCATTTTGGATAGCTAGATTACAGAGTCATCAAATCAAAAGTTCAGCCAACAGAACTCCATGAAACTTCTGGCAGGCAGCAAAGGGAAAGAGCAAGGATGACAAGAGGCAGCCCAGAGCTGGTAACCTCTTAGTCCCGTTTACATCAACTCTTAACTACGTATGTCTGACCACACATTTAGCAGCAGGTTTCATTAAACATGATGTTTGATATGGTGTAATGGACAATCATACACCTAGGCACATGGAATGACATATGTAGAAGAGAGTGCTGTATCAAGTCACAAAACTAGTTCCTGAAATTGAATTCACCATGATAATTTACGTACCTATCTGAAACACAAGGGCTGAGTGTCTCTGGAAACAGCCTATGGAAGCTTCCTGATGACATGAAAAGTCATTTTTTTGGTGCAACAGTATACTTGTAAGACCAGGAAATAGGGTAGTTAGGTTGCAGATTTTTCAGCTCCAAGGTTTTGCTTCATTGATCCCATTGTCCAGGAAGGTGCATTAAACTGCCAGCTTGAGATGGGTCATTCTGCAACCTCCCTATGTAACTGGGGTCACTGTGCATGCAGGAAGGAATATGGCAATCTTGAGGTACTAACGAAGATTCACTGTGGTGTAACTTCACTCAGCCTGCTTATAGAGATGTTCCACTGGCAGGAAGGAAACCTAGATTTGGTCAATCCCCAGCATGCCTTTTAGATGTTTTTATCTCAAGATTATTAATGTTGAATTCAAAGGCATCCCTGAAAGAGGGTTCGAAGTGAGTGTCCTGTTTCCCAGGCTTGGCCTTAAATAGAGAGGATACCACTCCAGCCAAAAGTGCTAAACAAAAATGAATGCTGGTTGGGAGAGCCTTCTGTGATGCAGGAAAGAATTTAAAACTCTTTGGGAGACTTAAGAACCCAGGACTCCAGCTTTGTGAGCTAGTATGAAAGGCACCCTCTTCTTTTGGCTATTGCCTGCACACATTTAGTATCAAAGAATCATTCAGGATGGAAGCAGCCTTCATGAGGTTTTTAGTTCAACCTCCTGCTGAAAGCACAGTCAGCTCTGAGGTCAGACCATGTTGCTCCATGCTTTATGCAGTTTGAGTCTTGAAAATTGTCATGGATGGAGCCTGCACAACATCTCTGGGCAAACTTTTCTTCTGCCTGACTGTCCTTAACGGTGAAAATGTTTTTCCTGGCATCCAGGTTCTCTCTCTCTTGTTAGAATTTATTTTCTTGCTTCTCCAACCATGTATCACTGTGAAGAGCCTGACTATCATTTTGGTAAAAACCTTGCAGGTACTGGAAGGCAGGTATTAAATCCTCTATAAGACTTCTTTTCCGTGAGTTGAACAAGCCCAGTTTCCTCAGCCTCTCCTCACAGGGAGATCTCTCCTGTTAGTCCCCTGACCATCTTAGTGGCTCCTCCACTGGACTCACTCCAGTTTGTTAAGAATGCTTCCTGTATCTGGGGGTCCAAAACTGGATGCAGTATTCCAGATGTGGGCTAACAAGTGCTGAGGGCGATGACCAGTTTCGTCTTTCCACTAGCTATGCTCCTGTTTATACAGTCCAGATGTTGCTGGTCTTTGCTGCCCAGGCACACTGCTGGCTCATATTCCCTCTGAGGACCAAAAAGCATGCACGCGCACACACACACACACACACACACACACACACACACACACACACAAAGCAAGCTGGTATACCCCAAATACTCTGGTGAGATGGACACCATGGCAAAATGTGTAGGTGCACAAAGGAGTCCGACTATAAGCACTGAAGCCTGATTTCAAAAGCAGGTTCCTGAACTGCCCACAAGGTGTGTTACTGACAGTTTTGTTAGATGCATAAAATTGACAGGAAAATAGTGTGTTCATGTTCCTTAGATCTGACCTTAACATACAAGAAAATACTTGCTATAAAGGTCACAGTCCTCTTTGTATAGTGAAACTTTTTATATGCAGTTTATCGACTAAAGATGTCTTTTACTACAAAGCTTAAAAAACAACTTTGTGATCCCTTGCTATCAGCTACTGTAAAACTGATTTGGTCAGGTAACTAGCAACTTGATAATATTAGGAAATGGAGAATTCAAAGCTAGAGGTGCCTCCCTGGAAGACATGTTTCCTTGGTCACAAGTTACTGGGCTTAACACAGAGATCAGTGCACTATTCTACAGCCTGTGATAAACTGTACTTCAGAAAAGATCAGTTGGTCTGGTCTGATATCTCAGAAGTCTGTAAATTACAAAAATGTCATAGCATATACTTGTATATCTTATGAAAGAGGAAATTCAAGATCTTACCTAACAAACACAAAATTGAAAACTTGCATTCTGCTGCATCTTGTAAAACATTGTAATAGAGAACATTTAATTGACAGAAGGTAAAGAATCACAGCGCAAACCTGAATCATATTACTTATGTTTGCAGAATACTAATATTTTACACCTTCTGGTCATGTTAATACTGTATATTAGATTTAAGCCCTGAAAGCTGCTCAAAGTAAAAAAGAAGTGAGACTTATGAAACTTTTCCAAGATGATTTTTATTAATCATCTCTGCCCACTCTTAGCACACTACTTAATATGAAATGCTTCATAATATAGCTTGTTTTCACACACACACCCCCATTACAAGATGGAATCCAGGAAAGAGTCAAAAATGAATCTTTAAATATTCTTATCAGGCATACTTTATGTTTATCTTAGGACACTGTTAAAACATATGCACGGGTATCTCAAATTATATTACAGCCCAAAGTAAACTCTCAAAATCTAGACAGATAATAACATTTTTGTTCTAATAGAGAAATTCTACCCTAAAGAGACAAGCTCCTACTGATTTTAATGTACAATATATACATGTTGCTGAGGGCATAAGATATTTCCCTCCTACAGAGCAAAGTATTTGATTTTTCACGTCAATTCATCACAAACCTGAGTGGAGATCTTGGTGTGCATCAAATAGTTTTTGAAATCTCTCCTCTGCTTTCAAAGCTCGAATAGTCCAAAGTCCCTGGAGGGATGACGACAAGTGGGAGAACACTGGACTTCGAGCTACAAAGGGAAATGAGAGTAACTTAGCAATAGCTGAAGGACAACATTTAATTCCTTTTTTACCACACTAATCTTTAATCCTACTATTTTATATTTAACCATACAAGTTATCATACTGCATTCTTTCAGAATAAATATGCAATCTCTTTAACCAAAGTCCTCTTACTCAATTAGAATCAGTCAGACAGCCAGGCAGATTAATTTATACAAAAATGTCTTACTTTTTAACAATAGTTGCCACTGAAGAAATTCTTTGAGCTTTATTAATGACATGAGGCACCCATTCAAAATCCTTAATATTTCATATCATAGTCATGCTAAAGTCAGGCCCAAGAGTCAGATTAGGTCAGAAACACCATCAGTATGTGCATACAAGGTCCCAAAACCCAGCAAGTTAGCTGGGTTCCTAACTAGCTTTACTTACAGATAGTTAAAACTGACATACTTAAGGTTTATAATTATGCAAAACGGGAGTTAAGCATGTAATTCACTAGTTGAGAACCAAGGCAATAAGGAAGTTATTTGCATAGCAAAAGAAAAAAAATCTTTGATGGATTGTCTATAAAATACTAGCATTTCACATAATAATAAGCAGGGTTCAAACTAACATTAAATCCCCCAAACCACATACTTGTGGATTCTAGACGTTTAATATCTCTTGAAGTGTCTAAGAAATATCGTCGAAGAAAAATGAAAAGAATAAATAGTGGAATTAAGGGGATGAGTATCCAAGGAATCACTGCCACAGCCACAGCCACCACACCAAAAATCTGTAGGAGAGTCTGCAACACAATAGAAACAAAATAAAAAACTCTTTGCCAGAAGAATTTAATTTAGAACAAGTATAAAACTATTTAACACTATTGAAACACTTAAATATTTAAACATAACTACCAAATTTAGAGGCGAATGCATTGTATAACATAGGAGCGACATCTATTTTTAAGCAACTTGAAGAATTTACAGTAATACCTAATTTGACTTTCAGTTTATGGTTTTCTGCCACATTTGTTCTTTAAGAAATGTCTTTACAAACTGGCTGACTGAACTTTAATATCTTTCTTTGTGGACTATTCTGTGACTGCTTTAATAAAGTAACAGATCATTAATTAAAAAGACCTAATCTTTAATGGACCGAAGCTACCTAGTGAATGAGGTAAAAAGAAACTGTTAAAAGACTGTCTTTCACTTCAAAGACTTAACAGTTGGAAGAGTAGCTTTCAAAATAGGCTTTTAAATTTTCCTAAAATTTAAATTTTCCTAAAAACAACTCTGTCCCATTTAGAAAGAAAACCCAGTATCAGAGAAAGTGAGCTTTCTCTTTCCAAAGGACTGCACTGGGAAATGTTACAAATAAGAAAGAAATGTTAAACACTACAAGACGTGTCATAAGAGGCTAGTTTTACCAGGTTTACTTCAGAGTACAAGATGAAAGGCTGGACTAAACCTGAATTTACTCTTAGAACATTAGATATAATGTGTAATGAAGCTTTGTTGCTTAGGACTAACTTTCTGAATTAAAACTCCCATTTTCTGCAGACTACTTCACATCCTGTAAGTCAAACTTTCAGTTTAAATACACTATGAAAAGCATTATCTGCACACAAATTTATTTCAGAACACCAATGGTGTATGTATGTAAGGCAGGAATCCAGTCACCTACTGAAACCAGGGTGTGCCCCTTTGCTCCTTAAAAAAGGGGGTGGGGTAAAACATACAAAAAGAAACACATCCTGTACAAAAAAAAAGACAACTGAAATTCTAACTCAACACTAAATTCTTGTATTATTTTCTTTAACAAATTCCTTAGCAAGGAAAATATTTTCTGCAAGGTCTCCATTTTATGCACTGTAGAGGAACCACTTTCATTATCACATATGACACACAAGTAGATTCCAGCTGAACTTCGTGGTTGTGCATTAGTGACCACTGGGTCCTGAGAATGCATCTTATAGCAAAAAGGCTTCTATCCCTGAATCTGTGCACTGAGTTGGAAAAGCTAAGCAACACATCAGCTAAGGTTGGATACCGGAGAGCTACCTGGATTTTCAAACAGTTTCAGCGGAAGTGCCTATGAAACATTGCATTTCCTGTTGCACTTCTGGTAGCCCATACTCAACACACTCTAAAGCCAAAACTAAGCACTCCCTTTCCCCCTACATCTGTTTTTTTCTTGAGGTTTCTCTGACTTTACCCTAATTTCACCTGACCAAACAGCAAACCCACACACCTTATGCATTACAACTGTATGAGTCAGCACAATTTAGTCTTCGGCTCTAGGCAAGATCTTAGCTCATGATAGAAGATTTATCAGTGTAACAGCCTTGCATCTCATAGATCCTGAAAGCACATTATAGGGTCTCAGAAATCTATTACGGAAAATAGCTACAGGGTAGGTATGGGGTAGGAGCTCTGAAGGAAGCTGCATTACCACTACACTGCACATCTGTGGGTTGAGGTACTTACAACATTATGTTTTTGACCTTCTAGATACATACAGTAGATTGCAGACATTTTACCTAGATTTCATCACGAGGAGGTAAGGTGGCAGCGAGAGTTTATGGTATTTCACTTGGGTCAATTATGCCCATGGTATGTCAGCACAAAGCAAAACAAAGCACCCAGACTCCTCATCACCAGTGCTGCTCTACCTTCTACTTCCCCAGCATTCTTTAAAACCCTGTAAGCGTACTTCGTTTTTATCACTGAATGAGGAGAAAGGAGATAAAGATTCCTGACCTCCTCCAAATTTTCTCCTGCCTAGCTCTGTTTTTCCCAGCACCGCTCATTGTCTCTGCCAGGCCTGTCAGCCATCCCCAGACTAGCTAATCATTTCTAAAGGTTCCTTCACCTCCATTCTCACTGACAAACAGAAAATGGAAGTCCATTCCATCCTTCTCACAACTGCTTTATAGGCCTGCTGCCTTCCCCTTCTCCCTCCATCACCTCCTAGACAGTCACAAAAGAGTAATTTCTGAAGTACTTCTTGTCTTCTCACCATCAGCCTCAAACCTGATATGAAGAATTAAGAACAATTCTTTCAAGAAAAAAAATTCTGAGGAAAATAAATGCTTCTTAATAGAAAATTTAAAAGCCAAACTCAAGTTTTGGTGATGATAATCTACAATATGTTGCAAAGTGCCGGTGGGGGTGGGAGTGGGAGTAGATCTATTAGGATCCAGCTCATGTAAACAAAGCCTTGGTATGGCAGAAATACAGGGAAGGAAAAGATGGTTAGGATGACTAAAGTAAAAATCTGACACCGCCTTTGGAAGGAATTTTAGATGAGCCTGCACCACCTTATCATTATAAAAATTTATGATAGGGTGGATCAGTCATGTGTGTTGCTTTTTGGAAAACCAAACTTGCATATAAATTAACTCTTAATGAAGTAGTCTGGAAGCCAGACACAACCATTTGCAGACTGTAATCATGCAGCTACTGCATGAGGTAAGGCAAAGGTTCTAGCTCCCAAGTTTCACAAGAGACAACTAACCTCCAAAGCTGGAGACTGCTCCAACTTCTAGTAGATTCACTGCATGCAAGCTGGAAGACCCAAGATAATCAGCAGAGTGACGATAACACTAATATGAGTAGTCTGACTGCTCTCCTCTCTGGAGACAAGCAGTGAGCTAGGTATTCAGTTTGCACAGCAAGATCTTGACCTTGTCTAGCAGAATCAGCTTACAATTGAAAATTGCACCAAAATGCTAAGCAGGCAAGATTTCCCTACATAAAAGAAACACGGCCGATAAAACCAGCATCTTTTACTGTATTTCTTAATTTTAGTCTTCTGTAATGATTGTGCAGAAAACAATAGCCAAATTAAGACAAAATAGGAGCTGATTTTACAGCTATCTGAACAGTATTGGAAGCAAGGCCACCTTATACAAAAGACAACAGATGCACAGGCTACTGAGACTGAAAAGACCTGGACAGGGAAATCTAATCTGTTTCCAAATGGAGCCATATTGTCCAATGTCCACCTTCAAATTTGTTTCAGTTTCCCAGGAGAAATAAGAATCTCCCACTCAGAAATCGCACATACTCTAGGAGTATAAAAAAAGCACGTGCTGGTTCTCTTGGACTCATACCCTTGCTTGCGAGAGTCCTGAGAGATTTCCCTCATGCTTTGGTCAGTCACTCCATTCACTGTGGCTTATTTTTCCTCAAGAAATCTCCTGTCCTACTGGAGCAAGCAGACCCTATTATAACCCTCTGGGAAAGTGAATGCTCTGATCAGCACATTCATTTGCAAAACACATGCTTCTACATATTTGTAATTCTTATAGGTGCTGAGAGTGATATCCTTGAAGTTCCATCTCAAACAGGTCTTGCTCTAGGAAGAACAAGGTATTTCTGTACCACAACCACACAATAGAAAAAATATTTAATGTGAGGTAAAGAAACAATAAGAAAAAAACCTATAAAAATCCAGAAAAATTACAATCTATAAGCCATACAAATATCACAAGCTATAAGCCTTTCCCTTTGTTGCAGAAACTATACCATTTACGTAATATTAGAAACCTTACGACAAATTGTAAGCCCTTTTAAATAATTTAATAAAGTTGACAGGAAAAAGATGCAAAAGCAACATTTAGAGTTCAAGATGTCTCATAAGAATGTCTACTCTTCCATCCTACAGATCATTACTATTCTTTCATATCAGTTATACTCTGAGGTCAATATTTCATGTTTGGCTTAAGCACTTCTTTGAAAAAGGCACCTGGTCTTCATGTAGAACCCCATTTTAAACCTCTCAGGTCTGCTCGCACTTTACTCCAGCTAACTCCTTCAAGAGTCCTTTATCTCCTCATGCAGTACCTATAAAACACCTCTCTGTCTTTTCTCTGAGCTCAACAGAATCAGATCTTTGAGGTCTTCCATTTTCTTCCATAATTCAAAAATAAAAGTTTTGTGCTTTTTTTGTTTTTAAATGGACCTTACAATGTATTTCAGCATCTCTTGTAAAATACATGCATAAGGGGTCTGTGCAAGTTCCTAGTGTGATTTGTGATGCCAAGTCATCCACATGGGTTTGACAGCTGTGATATAGGACCTACTACCACAGGAACCACACCATTTGGGACTTGCAGCTATTGATTTGGTAGGATCTCTAATGAATGAGTGAAGCCCAAGGGATGGGATCTGAGACTCAGAAACTTGAATGTGGGAATCTACATGCGACCTATATTGTGAAACTCCTGTCCTAGTTTAGAAGTTTAGAAAGTGATTGGTCTAACATTTAAGTGGATACTTAGTGACCCCATGGTTGAATATTTCTCTAGAGTCCACTAACTGTATGGACTAGATGCCCTCTGACTACAGCAAGGTAAGCATCTAAAGCCCAACATGCAGACACCTAAATTTCAATGACTGAATCTGCAGTCAAATCCCACCCAAAAACTGCAGTGTTCCAGGACCAGTTTTACTAATATTTAAGCAGAAGTCAAACACACTTACTCTGCCGCCGCCCCCAACTCCTACTTGCTGGACCCCTATATGCACTCCCAAGGATTCTATTAAATGCCCATGGTCACTGCCACAAAGCCATACTAATTCCAATACAGCAGCAGTGCATATCATGGATTTCAAGTTTGTAACCTTAACTGCAGTAATTTAGGACACTCTCAGACAGGCTGGGCTGTCTGAAGTAAAGCTAGAAAGCTAGAAAGTCAAGAAATTACAAAACCCCACTCTGTTTGTACTTGCTTAGCATCATCCTTCCTCCTACTCCCCTCCCCCTAACTAAAATTACTTCCTCATTGTCTCTGCCAAA